TGTTGGGAAAATAAGAGATTCTGATGTTTTTATGTCAAACAAGGGATAATCTACAACGTTGTATAGTCTCCCTGGTAAAACGCATGTAACTTCTTATCATATTTATGAATGCATTTTGGGCCAGTGGCCAGTGAAAAAAATGTCTGTCTGTCTGTCTGTCTGAAATAGATACGTGTCATAGTGGGAACATGTAACCTCTAATATCTGGTCCGTCAATTGTTGTGTGTAGTTGGTTGGTTTTTGTATGATTGTCGATGTGACGTTAAATCTTAAGTCACTCACTCACTCACTGTATGAGTGAGTTACATGTTTCAGCAACCTCTGCTGGGGAGTCTGCATACTTCTGAAAGCACCTTCTCTGCACCGTGTTACTTGAGTTAATTGAATTATTGCTTCATTATCGTGGACAATTAAGATAGATTACCGAGTATTTTAAACATTGTTGTATATTAAATTTTGTCTAGCATGGTATTATGATTGCACTGCGTTTTGAGGTCATCCCATATGTGTGTTTGCCGAAGGGGTTTCCTGGATGGAATGGCGAACTATGCCGGGCATAACAGGTGACTAAACGGATTAAATGGTCAGATTTGTTAGGGAAGTCATCGGTGCTCACAATATTGATCACTGGTTTGTCTTGTCCAGACCAGGTTATTTACAGACATATAGCCGGGCACATATTGCTGTGAAAGCACAAAAGAGCAATCAAATACGTGTGTGTTTGACTAAGTTACAAGCCAGGGCCCAGATGTTCGAAGCACTCTTAGAGCTAAGATAGTCGTAAGTTTAATGTTAATGTATGGCACTTACGACTATCTTAGCGCTAAGAGAGCTTCGAAAATCTAGGCCCAGGTGTTTATGAAATTGTTACAGGTACATGAGTGAGTGAGTTTAGTTTTCACGCTGCACTCAGCAATATTCCAGCTAACTTCTGTAAATAACCGAGTCTGGACCAGACAATCCAGTGATCAACAGCATGGGCATTGATCTACGCAAATGGGATACGATGACATGTGTCAACCAAGTCAGCGAGTCTGAGCATGTGGCTGACCCCGTCAGTCGCCCCTTAGACGATGGTTAGGAAAAACAAACACACACACACAGACACACGATAATAACATGTTTGATACCTCTTCTATAACATATTCGTAATGGTGTACATGTAATGGAGGTACTTCGATCATGTCAAAAATGAGGTAGTACTTGTGATTAAATCAGAGATTTTCTACTTTGAACGTGTAGAATGGGGCGTTGACATTCTTACAATATAGACTTACCCGTAAGCATACATTTTTAATAACTTAACATCACGTAGAGTTACTCATGCACTATTTGCGAAACACAAATATTACACCTAGTCACTGGGACGCACGCTGGGACATTTCAATTTGGCGATGCCGTAAATAGCTCTGATTAGTAATAGCGTCTATCCTGGACACAGTCTCACTAGCTGTAAAATAATTATATATAACTTGTACTTTAAAAAAAATATAACTGAATATACCCTTGGCATATACCCAAGTCAAAACACAGAAATATTTGCTTGTCTGTTTGCGCCGTACTAAGATATAACACTTCTATGGTAGTGGTATGTAAATATTTAAATACCATGTACTAGAGGTGTACGTCAAGGATTAACGTTTAACCAAGTATCAGGGGAGTATACGGGAGGACGTACTGGGTGTATGTTAGACTGATTACAAAGTACACACGTAGAACGTCAATAATGTACGCAGGATCAAATACCAGAAATGAGGCGTCCCTCAGGTGTGTACGCTAGAGTAAGTACCAAGTACCACAGGTGGATGTCACGGATCTTTGCTGGATCAAGTACGTCAAGGAGGATATAAAGAGTGTACGCTAGAGTAAGTACCAAGTACCACACGTGGATGTCACGGATCTTTGCTGGATCAAGTACGTCAAGGAGGATATAAAGAGTGTACGCTAGAGTAAGTACCAAGTACCACAGGTGGATGTCACGGATCTTTGCTGGATCAAGTACGTCAAAGAGGATATAAAGAGTGTACGCTAGAGTAAGTACCAAGTACCACACGTGGATGTCACGGATCTTTGCTGGATCAAGTACGTCAAAGAGGATATAAAGAGTGTACGCTAGAGTAAGTACCAAGTACCACACGCGGATGTCACGGATCTTTGCTGGATCAAGTACGTCAAGGAGGATATAAAGAGTGTATGCTAGAGTAAGTACCAAGTACCACAGGTGGATGTCACGGATCTTTGCTGGATCAAGTACGTCAAAGAGGATATAAAGAGTGTACGCTAGAGTAAGTACCAAGTACCACGCGTGGATTTCACGGATCTTTGCTGGATCAAGTACGTCAAGGAGGATATAAAGAGTGTACGCTAGAGTAAGTACCAAGTACCACACGTGGATGTCACGGATCTTTGCTGGATCAAGTACGCCAAGGAGGATCTAAAGAGTGTACGCTAGAGTAAGTACCAAGTACCACACGTGGATGTCACGGATCTTTGCTGGATCAAGTACGTCAAGGAGGATATAAAGAGTGTACGCTAGAGTAAGTACTAAGTACCATAAGTGGATGTCACGGATCTTTGCTGGATCAAGTACGTCAAGGAGGATATAAAGAGTGTACGCTAGAGTAAGTACCAAGTACCACAGGTGGATGTCACGGATCTTTGCTGGATCAGGTACGTCAAGTATCATGCACCAGATTAGTACGTCAGGGAGGTAGGCCAGATCAAGTACCATGCACTAGATTAGTACGTGAGGGGTACGTCAGAGGAGGATATAGAGGGTGTTCGCAAGACTAAGTACCACGTTCCAGGTTAGTACGTCAGGGATGTAGGCCAGAGGAGGATATAGAGGGTGTTCGCCAGATCAAGTACCATGCACCAGTTTAGAACGTCAGAGGAGGATATAGAGGGCCAGTCCGTCAGTCCAAGTAGGCACAAGAGGATAAGTACGTCAGGAGGTAGTACGCCAGATGAGGATATCAAGGGTGTCCGCCAGACCAGGTACCATGCACCTGATTAGTACGTCAGAGGAGGATATAGAGGGTGTCCGTCAGTCCAAGTATCATGCACAAGATAAGTACGTCAGGGAGGTAGGCTACATGAGGATATAAAGGGTGTTCGTCAGATCAATTAAGTACCATGCACCAGATTAGTACGTCAGAGGAGGATATAGTGGGTGTTCGCCAGTCCAAGTACCGTGTACCAGATTAGTACGTCATGGAAGTAGGCCATACGAGGATATAAAGGGTGTTCGTCAGATCAATTAAGTACCATGCAGTAGATTAGTACGTCAGAGGAGGATATAGTGGGTGTTCGCCAGTCCAAGTACCGTGTACCAGATTAGTACGTCATGGAAGTAGGCCAGATGAGGATATAAAGGGTGTTCGTCAGATCAATTAAGTACCATGCACCAGATTAGTACGTCAGAGGAGGATATAGTGGGTGTTCGCCAGTCCAAGTACCGTGTACCAGATTAGTACGTCATGGAAGTAGGCCAGATGAGGATATAAAGGGTGTTCGTCAGATCAATTAAGTACCATGCACCAGATTAGTACGTCAGAGGAGGATATAGAGGGTGTTCGCCAGTCCAAGTACCGTGTACCAGATTAGTACGTCAGGGAGGTAGGCCATACGAGGATATAGAAGGTGTTCGCCAGACCAACTACCATGCACCAGATTAGTACGAGATTAGTGCGAGAGCAGGATATGAAGGGTGTATGCCACCATCACCGTCCCAGATGTGAGATGTTTTACGCCCTTGTTTGTGCATAGATATGCGTATTTGATGGACTTAGCCTGTTTCAACACAGGTTAGATTTGCTGTAACAAGAGCTTTTGGGATAAAGGCAAGATTAACTTCAGTGACCGGGAGGCACAATGGTAGTCAATTAAATACGATTATGACTGTTGGTATTATGTCCTGGTGCATCATCATTATTACGCTTTCACCCACTACGATGTCAAATCATCATATAAATATCTTACATTCATCATCGAAATTTTCATTATTTTTGTTATCATTTTTGTTATCATTAGCAATAATCGTTATAATAATAAGCATGTTCATCATTACCATTGTCTTCAGGATCACCACCATGGCCATCAGTTTATCGAATAAAATGATCATTTCCATCATCATTATGACTGTTGGTATTATTATCATCAATAAATATAATGATCATCGTATTTCTGTGGTGGTTTTTGCCATCGTTGACATAATGTTAATGATTATTTCATGATCATAATTATAACTTTCCCGGTAGCATACAGGTGATCATTTTCATCATAATTACAAGCATCATTATCATCATATCATCATCATCATATCATCATCATAATCCTCCTCCTTGATCTTTAAATATATCATTTTCATAATTATACAAATTATTCATCAACTCAACTTAGACTTTACTGTTTTCAAGACAACATATGATTTTACTTTTTGATTTCAGCCTTGACCTTGAATTTTCTCCCCGAAGTAACAGTTAAACGAGTGTTCCAAAAGGTTATGCCATACACTGATAACAAAGATGAAATTAAGAGACATTCGCATCAGGAGGCACATACAATAACATTGTATTGCAGTCTGTACTTATTTTTCCTTATTTGTGATTATTCTCTTATTTACAAACGTTCTGATACGATGATTCAACTAAACTTCAAATGGCAGAAGTAAAATTGATTTATCTACTACTTTGCACTCATTTACATGTTTTCGTAAAACCCCGCAGGTGATATAAAACATTAATCCGAAACGAAATATTGTTACATAATGAGAAATCTTCCAGCCCATCTATCTACCATCCATTAATGGTTACAGGGAACCAGAAGCAACATCAGTTTGATGTATATAGATCTACATAGTGCCCCTGTACGACCGACGCCAGGGAGGACATATATTTGTCTCGATTGCATGTACTCCATCAAAGGCCCGCCTTGGCACGCGACACCTCTCTTCTCATTGGCCGCAGTTACAGTGTAGGGTGACACAGCTAAAACGGCCGGGAATTCTCGCAAGTACGGAGAATTCCAACGTGTATGTTAGAAGTAGAGGAGAAAATGATAACGTACAGGTTGTGATGGGTTGAGTGCTGGGTCGGATTCAGAAGCTGGATCGGCGTTGTGCAGCTGTATCACGAGCCAGGACCGGGCGTTGAAGAGGGGAGAGGTGCGATTGGTTAACACGGGCAGTGATTGACATCTCTTCCCTGTTCTTGATAAGAGGAGGTTTGCGAAAGGGGTATGGGGGCTTATAAAATATCGGATTCCTTTCGCAATATGCAGAAACGATGAGTTTAACTCACTCACGCGTGTTGTGGTAGGCTTTAAGCTGATCAGCTGGTGAACTACATCTAGGACGAGAAACGTGCTCCGGCAGACTCCAAAAGGGACGCTTTACTTACCGTCATCTTTAAATCAAGCCTGTGGCAGCACGCACCTGCTGTGATCACACTGGACAACGGTCAAGCACGTGGAAATGAGATTTGTCTTTTGGATAGTCGTGTTTAGCACCTGTCTACTAGGGGCTACAGGTAAGATGGCAAACATTTTATTGACAACATTTTGCACATTTTAGATAGGAAATAAGAAAATTAGCGATGCAGTTTTGCTTTTATCATTTTCCGTATGTCAGAATATATCCTATTCAATAAATATTTTCTTTGTCATTGCCACGCTGATGCGTTGTATGGATTAAGCAAATATGCGTGTTTAATACCTCTGACGCAAGATTTACTCACTTTCTGTAGCAACACTACGTTTGAGAACATCGGTATACTTGTGGTATGGCACAAACCCCTTTATTTGTAAACATCGCTGCGAAGGCCGTTCACATCACATGTGGTATCAATCACGCGCACTCCTCTCGGAATGCAACGAACTTTACTGGATATTCCATATTCCCAGACGGTGATCTCGTGTGAAAAATTATGTCAGTGACTTAACCGTGACCAACAGGTTTTTTATGCCTGAACAGATTAACCCACTTCTATCTGTCTGTGCATGGGGTGACTGCTGTTTTGAAGGACAGTTTGTCTCTTTGACATAGGGTCTCGGCGTTGCTCGCGGAATTGCAAAACCACGAGAGTGTTGTCGAGTGACTGGATTAAGATGTGTGTGTCTTCTAGTCTCAGCCAACAATAATACTCTTTGACTGTGACGATTTGACATTTCACACACCCTTTAGTCTACAGTATTTTCACAACTTTAGTCATTGAATTTTCAATCAGTTCGTCATTGAGAGAATATTTTCTCAAATAGATTACTGGAAGGACAAGAAAGATCTGTCTGTCAACGTGATACAGATATAGGTCAATCCGCCGATCAATTGGTGTGTCTTTTTTAGATTTATGTTTCGGAAGATATGAAAATACGTTCACTTATAATCTTGGACTTAACACTGTTGTTTATTTCATGCTGACATATATTTGTGAGATGAGCATCAGCCACGTGGATGTGTAACTATCTGTAACTCATGTTTATTTCGGCCATCTTCACAACAAGTGTGCAAAAAATATATGGGTTGTGTGTCATTAAAAAGTTGATGAGCGATTGCGTGATCTATCTATACGAGCGCCACATACACCACACCACTCGTGGAGTGAGAGAGCTGTAACCCATTGGTCAATCAGTCACAAGTGCGCTCGGTGAACGTAAACATATGGGCGTGGCTTGTTGGGCAAACAAGAAGATGAGTGACAGTCGAAATGCACATCTCCATTACAAAGCTGATCCCGTGTAATTTCACGACTAGAAACCATGTCACTGTGTTAGGAGAGCTCCTCTGTCAAGGCCGCAACTGCTTTCATGTAAACAGCGCAGTTTTAGCTCGCTCACATATGTTTCGTGCAAGGACTTGGTCAACTTGAGGCGGTGAAGGCTCTATCGCTGCCGGAGTAGTGACTATCGCGGGTGAAACATTGTTGGTATGGATTACGGTTGACATACTCAAGACGCACGTTTACGTTAAAGGGGCTACCGCAATTCCTTGTATATATATATACTCAAAATGAATTTTCTGTTCACGTTTCTGTATTATTCCAAGTATATTTTGTAGATTAACGGTAGTATATACCGGGCTCCGGGCTGGGGTAGCACAGTGGTTAGAACTTTCACTAGTCTATGCTGTTTATGGGATAATGTAAACAGAGCTAGTCTAAAATAGCGTTATTAAACATAACCGTTTTCTTTTACCCGCGTTACCCATGAAGACCCGGGTTAGAATTGGTTTTCAGCAACCCGTGCTAGTTGTATGGGGCGACTAACGGGATCGGGTAGTCAGGCTCGCTGAATTGGTGGATGCATGTTATGTGAGATCGATGTTCATGTCGATCCCTGGGTTGACTTGCCCACACTCGATTATTTAGACCGCCGTCATACAGCTGGAATATTGCACTGTGACGTCAAACAAGGAAACGTTGTGTCAGTTCTTATCACGCTTGACTAATATTCTCTGTATTATCATGACTATGTGGTTTAGCACTATTATTCTATATTGCAAATGTCTTATTTATTCCGTTAACCGACAGGGCGGTTCGGTAGCCTAGAGGTTAAAGCGTTCGCTCGTCACGCCGAAGGCCCGGGTTCTATTTCCCACATGTGTATACAATGTGTCAAGCCCATTTCTGGTGTCCCCCGCTGTGACAATGCTGGAATATTGCTAAAAGCGGCGTCAAATAATACTCACTCACTGTATTCCCTTAATCTACACTTCAGCATGCTACCGCAGTATTGTCGTGTGAATAGGTTTGCAAGTTATAGGTGAGGTGCAATAGCCTACTGGTTCGCTCGTCACACCGCAGAGCAGGTTCAATTCCAAAGCGGATTGCGCTCTGTGAAACCCGTCACTCATGCAGCAACTTCTTAAATACTGCTTTAAACGACTTTACTAATCAGCAGGCTATATGTGTGGGGAGTGCTCGAATTGTGTAACTGTTCAGATATGGGTCAGCCGAGTAGTTAAAGGATTCGCTCGTCACGCCTAAAGCTCGGGTTCGATTCTCTACACTAATATCGAGAAGGTGAAAGACCCTTCATTTACATCATAAAAGCAATGTGTTGGGAAGTTTTTATTATTTATCTGAATAGTCTGAGACTAGTTTTATTGATTTTAGGAAATCTGCGAGAGATGGTCACTTGACCTGAGGTCAGTTTACTTCAGGGATCGGAAGGTCCTTATATGGTTTGATGGAACCTAACTCCGTGATTAAGATTACTAAACCTCGGTGTTTCACTCCTATCCTCAATGAATTCTTGAAACCTCAACATTCCTCCTCTTTTTCTAAAAGTTGAGGATAAAGTCATCAACGATCTGTCTGCCTGCCTGGACTACAGAAAACTTTGGAATATTTAATCACGAAAATCATATTTTACCGTACTGGTGTTGAGTTAAATGTGTCATTTTTTTCATTTATGTTATCTGAACTTATATCAAAATCTTCCTATATTCAAATATATTCAATATTATCATTGCCACGATAGTTAATATATGTTTTTATACCGCTTTTAGTAAATTTATAGCAGTGTCGCGGAGAATATATAAAAAATGGGCTTAACACATTGTACACACGTTGGAAATCGAACCCGGGTTTCGGCGTGATAAGTGAGCGCTCTAACCATTACTAAGGCTACTCCGCCTACGATAGTCTGACATACACTTAGTATGTACTTTGTAAAACGGGTCCCTACATGATTTGTGTGACCTATCAGGGACTACTGTCTAAAGTGGATTCTGGCTAATCCAGACCTCTGCCAATACCGGGCATCGAGCGGACAGTCTTAATTCATCAAGACATCTGCATACTCCGGTAAATGTATTTTACCAGGAACCATCTCTTGGAGTTTTGATTAATTCAAGAAGGACACGATGTACTGTTATCGTACAGATTTGCCTCCCTTTGCAATGACAGGATCCTCCCAGCATGGCGTATTTTGATCATTTGCCCTGTACAAACGAACCCATCCATGACCTGAATTCCTTAAAAGCCGCACCCACATAAAACTGAGCGAGTGAGTGAGTTTGGTTTTAAGCCGCTTTTTGCAATATTCCAGCAATATCACGGCGGGGGACACCAGAAATGGGCTTCACACATTGTGCCCATGTGGGGAATCGAACCCGGGTCTTCGGCGTGACGAGCGGACGCTTTAACCACTAGGCTGCCTCACCGCCCCTCACATTAAACTGACCCGCCGTGCTAAAACTGTAATGCTGTTCAAAGCCACGTTAAACCATCTCCCTCATTCTAATACATGTTTGTGTTTTGCAGTGGACAGCGTGATACTTAAACAGTACTGGAGATGGAAGTCGACACGAACAGAGAATCAACACAAACCGGACCGGGCAATCATGCTTACAAAAGCCAAGGTCGAAAACAGAGGCCGAGTTGCCAAGAACTTCGCTCCGAATGGCAACAGATGCTGTAAGGTTGGGGAGAAGACAGCCAAAAAGAGGCTGTCGTGCAACAGTATTGGCATGTATGCCGCTGCAAGTGCATTTAACAATTATGCGCCCAAATCCAAAATCCACTTACGTAACGGAAGGAAGTTTCCCAAAGTACTGACAGCAAAAATAAGAAAGTGTTCGAAAGAGTTTTCCAGAAAGTTTGAAAAGTGTTGTAAAATGAAGGCCGAATATTACCGTCATATGAAAAAGTGTCGTCGTCTACGCAGATCCGAGCGGAAAAGGTGTAAGGACTTGACAAAGAGTCGTTACAGATCCTGATGGACCACGACGGGTGTATTTTTGTACTTGAAAACTATTTATGTCCTTTTAAAGGATCAACGGATACTGGTATGACATGGTTATGTGTACATTCGCCGATTCCACCACGTCTTACGGTGCTCTCTTTCTCTCTGTCTTAGTGGGTATCATCCCCAATCCGCTCCAGGACTTACCAACGTGTACCCCTTCCCCTCATATGGACCAATATTGTGAAATAGGTCAGCTGACCCCCATCCCCATCCCCTGCATTTACTGCTCTGCGGGAGATGTTGACGGTTGGGCTTGCATCGTGTGGCTCACCGTCTGATATAGGCGGCAAGATTGGTTGATTGACCCTGATCAATCATTCCTCGTTCATCTATACAATCATCATGTGAAACCCATTTCTGGTGTACCCGCCGTGATATTGCTGTAATATTGCTAAAGCGGCGTAGAAACATTCACTCATTCACTCTACAATCATTGTCAACCTTACTTTATCGGCCTTCGGCCAAGTATATCGTAACGTGGTGCCAAGAATTATACACGACATGTACATTCCCTCCCTCAGTGTTGGCAATGTGACGTCATCACTGACGTCATCATGATGTCATATTCGCCATCCTCTGCAGAGACTCGTGAACAGTGTCCAGTGAGGAGTTTACGAGATGGGAGGTGCTGTTCTCGAGCATTACATCAACGCTCCTTCCTCTCATTCACATAGATACATAGACTAACCTGCACTCATCAAAGGCTGAACCGGAGGGCTGTACGACCGAGAGTGTGTTGCGACGATGGTGGTGGCGGCCGAAGTCGAGGTCGCCGTCCTCATCAAGGGGCCACAGGTGGATGTATTATTTGTGTTTCCCGAACTCTGTCGAGCCGACACCATATGACGTCAGTTTGTGACGCGTCTATGACGTCAGCGTCACGTGACGTAACCCGCCTGCTATGTGTGTAATGGGGCTAGCGACCAGGCGATCAATGGCTGTGTAGTAGGTGTCACGGTGCCTACGTTGTCATCTCGGCGAGGTCGACGTCTCTTCCTGCTGCTGCTGCTGCTGCTCCTGCTATTGTGTACATGGGCATATAACAACAAACACTGGGTACTGTGTGTTCTAGCCATAGACAAATGGTTTATATATTTTTTTCTGTTTTGTTGAAATTCTATCTTGTTTACTTGTTATAATAAGGTGATAATAAAGACATAATATAGAAAAGAAATATAAAATATAATGATGTTTTTGCCTTGTTACTGCCAGAGACTTGTCATGAGATCAACGCCCGGACATTAGATAGGATTTCTTATCTTAAAGCAAGAAGGAAATGGAGAACGACTTATTGATTTGAAAAGCCGAAGGATTCTGAAATTTGACCACGAACCAATATTAATAAAGAAACTTTCGTTGAAGCCAATATTGATGACGTAACAACACTACTCATTTCATTGCGGTTATCCTAGGTAAGGTGAGGTGAAATTGGGTTTAACGTCGTGCTTGAGAATATTTCGCTCATATGACGACGTGCATGCATGTGTATGTGTATGTGCGGCTGCTTGTACTAGCCCAAACTGAAGCTGGTTTTATAGCCCACTGAGATACCATGCCGCAGTGATGCATGAATACCCCACTCAGACACATTATACTGACTCCGAGCCGACCAGTCCTTGTTGTACCCATTAATGCCGAGCGCCAGGCAGGGACCAACAAGTACCATATTTTAACGTCTTTTGGTATGACGCGGTCGGAGATCGAACCCGCCAACTTCCGCTCTCCGGGCGGACGCTCTAACCACTACACCACGGAAGCGGTCCGCGGTTATCCTAATTAACGCATCATAGTTACGTTGTATTTGTGTGAATATAACACCGTTATCTTTAGTAACACGCTGGTGAGTGAGTGAGTTTAGTTTTACGCTGCTTTGAACAATATTCCAGCAATATAACGACGGGGAACACCAGAAATGGGCTGTGAGGAATCGAACCCGGGTCTTCATCGTGACGTGCGAACGCTTATTCACTAGGCTACCCCACGAACCTGTAATACGCTGGAAGGAATGTCCGGATACAAAGGTGTCTGGACTGACGAGGTTCACTGTACAATTTTAATATAGGTAATGTGGTGTCCGTTCCAGTAATGGATCTTGTCATGACTACATCAAACAGTCTTTCTAAACACGTGGGTTTTTAAAAACAAAACAAATATGGACTTTTATTGAAAACCAATACTGTTCCGGAAACATTCTGGGTGAATCCCCCAAAATAGCACTGCTATTGATTAAAATCCACGTAATGTCACGTTAGTCAACAGCTCTAAATTACAGTAAGCATTCTCAAGTGGTAGCCTAGTGGTTAAAAGCGGTCGCTTGTTACGTTGAAGACCCGGGTCGATTCCTCGGCGACATAAACAATCATCACTTCCTCCTCACTCGCTCAAAACTCACTCAAAACGTCTAAATATGTCTGTTGCCACGGTACAGCTGTGTAGTGCAAACATTATGCATATTTTGACAACCGGGCGAGAACATTATGTAAAACTCGTGCCAATCGGACCTCAAAAGTATTCTCGTGAATGTCAAGGCCGAAGGTGACAGGGGCGACTACTCTCAAAGGAAGGGAGATAAGTAGTGCCAGAAGTGGAATTCACTCCCAAAAGGTATGACTGACATTATGTACACCACTTCCTTGGTACTGTGCACAGACGAAATGTACATTTTTTTAGTAATTGATCTTGCCATGTGCTGGCATCTGTGAGATCTGGGTTGGAGATGCTGGGTATGCTAGCCCGGGCGAGGTGCCAGATCCGCTGTTATAGCCACGACCAGCTGGTAACGTAATGAGAGCTTTGCATTGCAAGTATCGTAACACCAATATTGTTAGCCTTGGCCCCATACGGCCGTGGAACGATAGCTATTTCGGTAAAAATATTACACGCATCTAGGTGATGGCAGCACTTGTGGTACATATTCAAGGTAACAGGCTATTTTGAACATTAGATTACGAAGTATTAAACAAAACACGTGGAGTTAAATAAATGCATGAGACATAACCTTCTTGAAACAGATTTGAGAAACAACATCGTGTTTATTAAGACTATTGGTTTGCATAAACCTGCACATTCCATTTACAAAACCTAGCCTGAATGTCAGATCTGACGTAGTTTTCTGAACTAGTATAGGGTGTCCGAACCCTTGGTTATATCTGTTGATGAAGTCATTTTATCTTCGGTAAGTTATATTTACATCAGAAAGCATATCTGTTTACATTCCCTCAGAACTCTGTCAGCAATGCATCGTATTGTTTGAAGCACTGGCACTCACACGGGCTCTGTAACGCGTTTGGATCTTGTGTCCATGCAACTTGCAGTGTTGAGAGAGGAAGATCCATGTGACGTGCAGTGTTGAGAGAGGAAGATCCATGTGACGTGCAATGTGAGAGGAAGATCAATGTGACGTGCAGTGTGAAAGGGAGAGTCATGTGACGTGCAGTGAGAGAGAGAGAGAGTCAAGTAACGTGCAGTGTGAGAGGGAGAGTCATGTGACGTGCAGTGAGAGAGAGAGAGTCAAGTAACGTGCAGTGTGAGAGGGAGAGTCATGTGACGTGAAGCGAGAGAGAGAGAGTCAAGTAACGTGCAGTGTGAGAGGGAGAGTCATGTGACGTGAAGCGAGAGAGAGAGAGTCAAGTAACGTGCAGTGTGAGAGGGAGAGTCATGTGACGTGAAGCGAGAGAGAGAGAGTCAAGTAACGTGCAGTGTGAGAGGGAGAGTCATGTGACGTGCAGTGTGAGAGGAGATCTATGTAACATGCAGTGAGAGAGGGAGAGTCATGTGACGTGCAGTGTGAGAGGAGAGAGTCATGTGACGTGCAGTGTGAGAGGAAGAGTCATGTAACGTGCAGTGTGAGAGGAGAGTCATGTGAGTGTGCAGTGTGAGGAGGAAGAGTCATGTGACGTGCAGTGTGAGAGGAAGAGTCATGTGACGTGCAGTGTGAGAGGAAGAGTCATGTGACGTGCAGTGTGAGAGGAAGAGTCATGTGACGTGCAGTGTGAGAGGAAGAGTCATGTGACGTGCAGTGTGAGAGGAAGAGTCATGTGACGTGCAGTGTGAGAGGGAGAGTCATGTGACGTGCAGTGTGAGAGGAAGATCCATGTGACGTGCAGTGTGAGAGGGAGATCCATGTAACGCGCAGTGTGAGAGGAAGAGTCATGTGACGTGCAGTGTGAGAGGAAGAGTCATGTGACGTGCAGTGTGAGAGGGAGAGTCATGTGACATGCAGTGTGAGAGGGAGAGTCATGTGACGTGCAGTGTGAGAGGGAGAGTCATGTGACGTGCAGTGTGAGAGGAAGAGTCATGTGACGTGCAGTGAGAGAGGAAGATCCATGTGACGTGCAGTGTGAGAGGGAGAGTCATGTAACGTGCAGTGTGAGAGGAAGAGTCATGTGACGTGCAGTGTGAGAGGGAGAGTCATGTGACATGCAGTGTGAGAGGGAGAGTCATGTGACGTGCAGTGTGAGAGGGAGAGTCATGTGACGTGCAACGTGAGAGGCAGAGTCATGTGACGTGCAGTGTGAGAGGGAGAGTCATGTGACGTGCAGTGTGAGAGGGAGAGTCATGTGACGTGCAGTGAGAGAGGAAGATCCATGTAACGCGCAGTGTGAGAGGAAGAGTCATGTGACGTGCAGTGTGAGAGGGAGAGTCATGTGACATGCAGTGTGAGAGGGAGAGTCATGTGACGTGCAGTGTGAGAGGGAGAGTCATGTGACGTGCAGTGTGAGAGGAAGAGTCATGTGACGTGCAGTGAGAGAGGAAGATCATGTGACGTGCAGTGTGAGGGGAGAGTCATGTAACGTGCAGTGTGAGAGGAAGAGTCATGTGACGTGCAGTGTGAGAGGAGAGTCATGTGACATGCAGTGTGAGAGGGAGAGTCATGTGACGTGCAGTGTGAGAGGGAGAGTCATGTGACGTGCAACGTGAGAGGCAGAGTCATGTGACGTGCAGTGTGAGAGGGAGAGTCATGTGACGTGCAGTGTGAGAGGGAGAGTCATGTGACGTGCAGTGTGAGAGGAAGATCCATGTAACGTGCAGTGTGAGAGGGAGAGTCATGTGACGTGCAGTGTGAGAGGCAGAGTCATGTGACGTGCAGTGTGAGAGGGAGAGTCATGTGACGTGCAGTGTGAGAGGCAGAGTCATGTAACGTGCAGTGTGAGAGGGAGAGTCATGTGACGTGCAGTGTGAGAGGCAGAGTCATGTGACGTGCAGTGTGAGAGGGAGAGTCATGTGACGTGCAGTGTGAGAGGCAGAGTCATGTAACGTGCAACGTGAGAGGGGTACACTTTATGACGGAAAATATCTACACAGCACTACACCAGATACCTGTTGTGTCAGACTGTCTACACGGCACTACACCAGATACCTGTTGTGTTAGATTGTCTACACAGCACTACACCAGATACCTGTTGTGTCAGACTGTCTACACGGCACTACACCAGATACCTGTTGTGTCAGATTGTCTACACAGCACTACACCAGATACCCTATGTGTCAGATTGTCTACACGGCACTACCTCAGATACCTGTTGTGTCAGATTGTCTACACGGCACTACACCAGATACCTGTTGTGTCAGATTATGTACACAGCACTACATCAGATACCTGTTGTGTCAGATTGTCTACACAGCACTACACCAGATACCTGTTGTGTTAGATTGTCTACACAGCACTGCACCAGATACCTGTTGTGTTAGATTGTCTACACAGCACTACACCAGATACCTGTTTTGTCCGATTGTCTACACAGCACTGCATCAGATACCTGTTGTGTTAGATTGTCTACACGGCACTACACCAGATACCTGTTGTGTCAGACTGTCTACACGGCACTACACCAGATACCTGTTGTGTCTGATTATGTACACAGCACTACATCAGATACCTGTTGTGTCAGATTGTCTACACAGCACTACACCACATACCTGTTGTGTCAGATTGTCCACACAGCACTACACCAGATACCTGTTGTGTCAGATTGTCTACACAGCACTACACCAGATACCTGTTGTGTCAGGTTGTAGTTTCATGAGAATAGATACACAACACCAGATACGTTTTTTGAGAGAGTGGGTACAAGGCCAGATACGTGCTGTTTTAGAATAAGGGACACACCATAACACCAGATATATACGTGTTGGCCACGGAGACGAGTTGCTCAAGGCTCAGGGGAGACATAACGAGGAAACCAA